CCAGTGTGTGTGTTCTTGCGGTGAATTTTGGTTTTAAACTGTGTGTCCGATCTAATAATTTTGAGGTTAATAAAATATAACTGTTTATTGCTTTGGTATATATTAATATTAAAAACAATTTGAGAAAAATTTAAGATATATTAAAAAGAAGCAGATGTTGCAAAGAAACAAAAGTTTAATGAGTTAAAAAATCCTTTAGTACATACAATTTTAGCTTTTGAGAGTTCTAGTTAATTACCTTTGAAGCATGTATGTTTTCAATTTCTGAAATTGAAGGTCCTACAAAATGAGACTGAAATTAGGGAAGCCATGTCCAAGCCTCTTGTCGGAGTATGTGATTATGATACGGAAGAACTGGAGGTAGAGCTTGATGAACTTTTGAAAGGTGAACAGGAAGAATTAACACATCTTAATAAAAACCAAGTTAATTCTGATGAAGAGCTTTCTGCTTTCATGACTCATCTATCAGTCAACAAACATGGTATGGTCAGTTGTTGTTTTTTGCCTTTTTTCTTTTGCTTCTTAATTTTTAAAAAAACAAATACATGGGTTTTCCTAAATTTTCGATATACAGCTACTTTGTCTCTGTTCACATGACAAGCTTAATTAACCCTGTGGAGATGGACTCAATGAACTTGACCAACTCTGTAACCAAGAAACTATGAAACCTATAATTCTGAATGAAATTTGACAAGATTTTAGTGTATATTACAAGCTTGTTTTACTAAAATTTATCTGTGAAGTTGCAAAGCCTTTACTGAGTTAGATTGAGCGAAAGATGATTTTCATGTTGAGAATAAAAATAGTTCTTTTCATCTTTCAGTACTCATATCTCATAACCTCTGGCAGCTCTTCAACGAATATAAAAATGTAGTGAAATTATCAATGTACAGTGTATGAAAAGCTGAAAACATATGAAAAAAATAAAGTGTTCCTCCTTCACTCTTAAAGAATGACAAGATAAATAATTGTTTGTATTATCTGTTACAACATGCAAACAGTTTCAGACTTTTATCCTTTTCACAAATGGCTTCATTTAATTTTAGGGTAAACAACCTAGCAAAGATGTGGCAACCCAAATGTGTTCCTAAAAGAATATTTTACCGAATTTTGTTTTCATGGAAGTTTTCCTATCTAAGCTAATAAGTTGAATTCCAGAGAACATTACTTAATGTTACCAGCTTTTTTGGATGCAATTTTTATCTGATGATGAACAAATACTGTGGGTCAAATCATTGTAATTATTAAAATCAGAATTTGCCTACTGTAAAACTTGCTGTTATTGTAATTTTAAATTAATTATTCAGTTCATTAGGTTTCTCAATAAACATATATGCTTAAATGAATACAATAAGGAAACTAGTGAAAAGAAGGAAGACTAAAACACACTCCGGTTAGGATATCACATATTTGAAGATTTAACTAAACGTTAATTGTTTTTAAAAAATTATGTTTTGGAAAGGATAGACATTGAGTATCCAATAATATTATTTTTAAACATGTACTTGAAATATTGACTTTGAAACACTATGAATACACATATTTTTAATGTTATTTGTATATTGTTATTGAAAAATTGTTGTTAAGTTTCAGAATTATTTTCTTTCAATCTTTGAAGGTAAAACAAAATAATAGGTAATCCTCTGAAAAGGATAATGTTTATGCTAATTTTAGATTTATATAAGTTTCTTAAGATTGAATATTAAGTTACCTTTAATATATTACATTTAACATTACAAACAGCATTTAATTGTGAAGCAATAAATCTTTAAATGTGCTCGTCAAGAAACCTGGAGCCAAAGAGCCTGTTACGTTTTATTGCAGAAGAAACTATTTCTCTAATATTCTAATTTCAGTAGAAGAAATAGACAAGTGCTTACTTTCACATTTACTTTCCTAACAGAAATAACTCTTAAACTAGATGTAAAAATGAACTATGAGATATATACACACATTTTTGGCCAATTGTATTAATTGCATAATGTCATTACCATACATATGGCTACTCATTCATTAACTGCTTTCAAGTTTACTCTTGTGAAACCTTGCTATATGAGCATAAGCGTTATCTAGCTAGGGTTAAAGAATACTTAAGACCAGTATAACCACAATTGCAAGGAAAACTACTAAATGTCTTTCAGAATGTCTTTCTTATGGCAAGTATAATTATTAAATGATTGAGTTAACCCTCTGGATTTCGGTTAGTCAAAGTGTGCATTTCACAGTCTTTTTTTACAAAGTTGCACTCAAAATGTATATCTATAAACTTGGGATCAAAATGACTTTTTAATCCAAATTTTGATATTACATAAATTATAATATCTTAATTTTAAAAGGAAATATATAAATATATTCTCAATTTTCACTTCTCTGTTCTTGTGATACTTCTTTGCTCCAGTTTGCCCGTTTTAGATTTTCTTTCTATCCCTGTATGGTCTTAGTCATTCACCAGTTACAAACTTATACTATAAATAATGGTAAGCTGTAATCTAACTTTATAGTATTCAAACATTTTGCTTTACTGAGATATAAACAAGAATGTCAAACCCCTTTTTATATGATTGTGCCTATAAAAAAATGTCAAAATTCCCTCTCTTACATATGCTATTAGATTATTTATAACTAATAGATAGAATAGATTCTACTTCACGAGATTCATCATGAAGACAGTTTGCTAAGTGCCAGATTAGAAGATATTTATTTTCAGTTTCTTTGCTTGCCTTTGCAGTGTTTGGCATGACCTGATAATGGACTTGTTTTTAGTATCTTTATATCTTAGAAAGCCAATTAAATGATAGTAGTTTTAGGATATTCTTTTTTGTGCTTGGTAATTTTTTATGTTGAAAATTGTATAAATGAAAAAATAATAATATTTTGGACCACCAACATTGTTATAAGAAAAAAGTAAACCTATAGTTCTTCGTTGTTGATAGCAATAGGCCTGGTGTCCAGGCGTAAGTACTAAATTCCTTCTATTTTATGTGTATTTTTATTTATTAGAAAAGGAACGAGAATGAAAAGGTTAGAAATATATTAGGTTAGATAAGGAAATTTTAAAGACAAAAAATTAAATAGAAAATTTCTCTAGATACTCAATTTCCTAGCACTTACACATCATGTGTGATCCTAATTCAGTTGTGAGGTGCTTGTCACTTGATTATTTATTTACACAAAGCTGTCCAGCTATGACAAGAGGCTTTTGGCATATTCTGAAAGGACCCAGTGTAGCTGTAAAACAATAAAACTAAACGAACCCACACTTGAAATGTGCATTAGCTTTGCTTGTAAGAATAATTAGTGTGTGTAAATGTCTGTTACAATATGCAGTCATTGTAGAAATAAAAAAAGAGGATAATATAGATTTATTTTGTGTTTTTCAACTTTTAATTTTGTCTTATGTTGCTGAGTTTGCTATAGTTAGTGTTAGTGGAGAAAGTAACATATAAATTTAAAGTTTTACTGAAAATACTTTTGATATTCATCTAGGAGATTCAAGAAGTTATTCAAATGAAATATGAAAACTGTAAGATGAAAAGAAATATATTTATCACTTCTGCAGGAAAATCACTTTTCACCCAGACTTTATAAATCCACAGATAATCTTTAGTCAAATTACTTTATTAAAAAAATTTGATGTTTTGTGTACAACAGACTTGTAATGTTTTGTGAAGATATCTTAGTATATTAAGAATTAAATTAATTATAATTTCATGATTATATGGTGGTTAGAAGGTCAGTTAAAATAACCAAACCCAATTTTAGAGAGTTAATATTTTAATTTTGTCAAATATATAGTCAGTGTCAATTTCTAGCTGCCAACTCGGAGCCATTTTATGAGCTGCTATGCTTTTTTTTTTCAAGTACAAACTTTTAGCTCATAGCTCCATCTCTTGACAGATTTGAGATCTAATTACAGCTGTGGCTATTGAGAATTCCCTCTTGTTTTTTTATAGAACCCTGAACATTTGGTGAAATTCTTATTCAGATGAAACTTTAAGTCTTACAACAAAGAATGCATTTATTCATTAGTTTTACTGCTTGCGATTAGGACTTATGATGGATCACATATGCTACTGGTACTTACAAATATAGCCATTTGTTTTTATATTATATTACAACTAAGTTTATATCTTGGTTCCATTGAATTGAATTTTTATCAATAACTATTATTTTTCAATTTTAGGTATTTCCTGGCCAGAAATACCTACAACCTCACAAGAAGAGGAGTCCATTATTGTTCATAACAAGCCTGTAATGTTAAGCTAGGTTGCTTCTTACTGTGAAAGTATCATATTACATTAAACTAACAAACAAGAAAGGGCTCAACAAGTAAATCATACATTAATCAGTGTAAAAAAAACAATTACTCTTTTTGTGTATTGGTCTCTAGTGTTGGTCATTTTTAGTGAGTTGCAAGAAGAGACTTAGCTAAAGTTCACAGAGGGTGATAGAAGTATTTTCTGTTAACTGACAGTTTAAGGTTTCCTAAAGAAAACATTGTCAATATATCTAATTTGTGTAAATCATCATCCAAGCCATAGAGATAATTTTATATTAATATTTAAATTAATATGTTAATGGCCCTTTTTATGAATTTTGATAGATATTTTTGTTCTGAAAAAGTATTTGTTTAAGGAAAGTTTTAAAGAAATAGGTGCTATATTAAAATTTTTTAACAAACAAAACAGAAAGATGTTTTTTGTGTAATGTAAAATTTTCCTTTCACATTTTTTTCTGTTAAGAGTTTCTGTACATTTACTTAAAGGAATTAAATGCTTTCTTTCAAATATTTTAAATTCTTACTTCAAATTGTCAAAAATTTGAAAGTTTTGTTGGATCACCTGTTGCTGTAATAGTAGCCTGTATGTGACATAGCTTAAACTCATAAGGAATGTGCTTTCATTATAGACCATTTGTTAAAAATTGTGGTTTGTAATTAATTCACAGATGTTCAAACAAATTGAGTTCTACTAATTGTAATAATGGCTAGTCACTTGCATGCTGTCTGATGAATGTTGGACAATATAAAAGTGGTAAATTAGAGTATTTTCATATTGGAAGAGATCTTATAGTGGTAGAATTATCCACCATTACCAGTTCCATTTATTTAAAGGTGTGAAACTAATATTCTGATATGATTCATTACCTCCACTCACATAAATAACTATTCTTCAGTGCTGTGCTCTATATTCAAATTGTTTTCGCACATGCCACAAGCTTTGAAGCTCCCATCTGGCATTGACTGATTCCAGTGCATCTTACATGCAAATCATCACGTGACAACCCTCTACCAATAAGAGTGCAACATACTCTCTTAATGCACGTGACTATCTCTACTCACATAAATAACTATTCTCGTTCAGTGCTGCCCTCTATATGCAAATTGTTTTTGCACATGTCACAAATCTTGAAGCTCCCATCTGGCATTGACTGATTCCAGTATCTATTAAATGCAAATCATCATGCGACAACCCTCCACCAATAAGATTGCGATATACTCTCTTGATGCACGTGACTCCCTCTATTCAGTTTTACCGAACTATCACTTGTTGTTTTGCAGTACTCATGTTGTAATATTTAGTTTGTGCTATCTTGAAGTGTTTTATTGTAATTTTTTTCTGTATCTTTGTATTAATTCTTCCCAACAAGTTTACTCGTTATTATGCAGTAGTGATATTTGTTGAGTTATTCTGAAGTGGAATTATTTTATATTTCTACCCAGTTTCGGAACTTATTGCTTCATTACAAAAAATTTTTCTGCCAACACAGTTGTGTTTGGTTATTCATTTTGCATTATGAATTCTACATCACCACATCAGAGGTTATATGTTCTATCAGCACATTTACACTGGCTTCAGGTAGCAGTACTCTGTAGGAAGAGAGATTGATCGTCCACTGAGATGACCTTCCTTGGACCTTGCCTCGAGTTTGGGGGCCCACCTATGGGTTTTTCCATTCATCTTGTATGCTTGATGCTGATTGGGGCTCTGGATCGATCAGTCCCATCTTAATCGCTTCTTTGGTCTTCTCCATTTTCATATGTAGTCTTTAATCACATTTGGGTAGGCTATTTCTTTATGTCTGTAAATGCCCATGTTACACGTTCTTATTTTCCATTTCTTGGGATGCTATCTTAGGTTTTTTTCACCACATGATTTGGTCCCAGTTTCGTGCCTTGCCCTTTGGATTTGTTTTGGTTCCATACATCTTTGTTTGACTCGATTTCCACATTTTGGAGGATTTTACTCACACCATTCATTGGCTATCTAGCTTTGGTTAGCTCCCTCTAAACAGGGGTAGTCTTAACATGCTCATATACTTCTTCCACAGTCAGCTCGGGTAGTTGGGTATATTTTTCCTGTTCCATACCTCACATTCTAGTCTTTTTTTTGGGGGGTGGGTATTTTTAAACAACCCTTGGGACCATCCATTCTCCTCCTTGAATGCAATCAATGGAGTTTTCTGTTATCTGAGCTATTCATTTGATTTTCTTCTTAATTTTCATATTTCCTTCTTTCTCTATATGATCATATCCCATACGACGTCAGGTTTTATTGCTTCCACCCCTCTTCTGGATTATTTCTGTTCCCTGATCCTCTTCTCCAGAGATTAGGGATGTGGTATGAT